GGGTCCCCGCGAAGGATGGGCTGCTCAGAGCGGGGAGCAGAGGCGAAGGGAAGGAAAAGGGACCTCCGGAGCGGGGGTTGGTGGCCAGAGCTGCCCTGTCGCAGCTTGGTAGTCCCCAAAGAGGGGAGAGCAGTGCCCGGGTGTGAGGCAGAGCCGTGGGGCAGGCCCGCTCCTGGGAAAAATGGAGCCGGAGATGTGTTTTCCAAGCCTGGGCCGGTGTCTTTGCGAAGGGGCAGGACGGGAGCTTTCCCTGCCAGGAATGGCAATATGGAAGTCGAGTTGCACACCGATAAGGGTAGATCAATACAAATGTGTCAGTGGGGGAGAAGTTATCTGGTAAACATAATGGAGCCCGCAGCTGGGCGTGGGGGGGCGGCTTTTCGCAGATGAGCTCCAAGATTTGGCTTGTCAGCTCGCAGGAAGCGAGCACAAAGTAAACTGCCACTTAAAGAGGCTGTTTGGTCTCACTCTGAAAACCTTTGGCCCTCTAAATGGTGAAGGCCTCTGTAGATTTCTGCTGGACACGTGTTCTTGGTAATAATCTCACTTGTAAACAACAAACGAATATGTTGGCCCTTTCTTAAAATCAGAATAGGGAGAATAATTTCCCAGTGGAGTAAGGGAAGTCTTAAGTATTTAATCACAACACTCAATTTGTGAGTAAAACTAAACCTAGTATATCATAATTTTGGAAGGAGGCTAGAAAAGTCCTGTAAAGTGTTTATGTAGCTACCACAAAAGAAGTCTTCAAAACAGTGTGGATGGGTCTGCTGTAAAGAACTTACCACGTAAAATAAATTGCCTCTGACACAAGAGGCAAGTTTACAGCAGCAGACAACTCGTGACTATTCATAGACGACACCACAGTAAATAAGCTATTTTTAGTATAAAAGGGGGAGGGCTACAGGTTCATGAGTTTGTTTATTTTTTTTTAAGGAGCCAGTCTTTTAAGATGTAAGGAAGAAGAAAAAATCAGGCCTGTGACAGATGTCGTAGCTCTCTGTGTTCTTTTATGGGGGGAGGCAGGGAGGGGGCCAGGGATAGCAGCCAATAGCTAACAGCTTTCTAGTTTGTATCTTCCTTCATGAGGTTTATCTTCTGTGCAGGGATGGCTGTGGTGGCTGGTAAGTCACAGACTTCATGGTACTTCAGCGAAGCTTTCAAGCTCATTGACAACTTGCTTTAGGTAGAGGTAGCTGTTTACCTGTCTCAGACAACTGAGATCCTCTTTCTGAACAAGCATCTGAATCTGGTCATAGTATTCTTGTTTTCTTAAATTGACTTAAAATATAGTAAACTGTTATCATAGCAGGCGGTGTATTTGTGAGGGTAAAACTGGTCGGGTTTTTTTACACTGTATCTCTCCTGCAGCCAGACTGTTGATCTCCTCATGCAAGAGTCAGGATGTCGTTTAGAACATCCTTCTGCTACCAAATTCCGCAATCATGTCATGGAAGGAGAATGGGATAAGGTAACGTAGGGCTTATAGGACTGTATTAACCACTGTTTAAATTTATAGTATCTGTGAGAGAATTCAAAATCCATCCTCCTTATATACTTTTTTTTTTCTTATGCCGATTTCTGCAGGCTGAGAACGACCTGAATGAACTTAAGGCCTTAGTGCATTCTCCGCATGCAATTGTGGTAAGAGGCACACTTGAACTCTTTCAGAGCTGTGTAGTTGAACTAATTGTAGTGGTGTAATCTCTCACTATGGAGTTGGTTGTCCATAGTTCTTGTTTTCTTTTTTTGTTTACTTTAAGCTACTTGCATGCTATCTCAAACGTCATACTAATCTGAACTTTTTTTATTCTGTTGTAGAATGTGAGATAGGCAGCCCAAAACTACTGGGGCTAAGATCTAGTGTACTGAATGTTTAAACTCTGTTAAACATACCTAACTGATAAAACATAAATTCTGTCACTGCCCTAAAATAGGTCAGTTTCTGTAGAAGCTGCCTATGTTGAATACTAATTTGAATACTTGAAATACTTCTCACAATCTCTGTGTTTATAGGAGTTAAGTTTTCTTGGGGGAAGAGAAGTTTAGAAATAAAATGCAGTAATACTAATGTGGAGTTGGCTTTGTAATAGCACATTACAAGAATATAGAGGCTGCTATAGACCATGAACAATACTGTTGCTTTTCCAGAGGGCTTTTAAAGAGCAAATGCATTTGTATTGCTGTTTGGGATTTTATTTACAGCTTTTTCTCTTTGGCTGGCTTTTTTTTTCTTTTTTTTAAAAAAGATAAATCTAGAAATAGAAGGTTGGTAGATCCTGTGACTTAACAATTACGATATGTGTTGTTATGATTTCAGTTGCTTTGAGTGAAGTGTTTCTTGTTTTGATTTTTGTATCTCAAGATGAAAATCATTACTTGGCTCTTCAAACAGCTTGTTCTGTTGTGTTTAAACGTTTATTTTAATGAAATGAAGTTAGAACAGCTAAGGTCACTTAGGAAGAAAACAGTAGCAAGTCTTTTTGAAGTGTCTGTGACTGTAAACAATGAGGAATCAGCTGATG